CTTCCTCACTCTGCATTCTCACCTGTTTCATGTTTTTCTATAAACTGATTTAAATGCCACAAAAATACTAGCAGCTTCCCCTTCCAAATATCTAATCTATGCATTCCAACTTGAAATACACTCAATCATTAAAAAAAAATATTGAGGGCTCTCTATGTGCCAGAAAAAGTGTTGGTTGCTGATTCAACACCTATTGGAAAGACTAGTTCCTAGCTGCTTGTTCACTGCTGTAAACCAACACTTCAATCTTCACCTGTGTGATAAAAAAAAATCTAAAGTTTAATCATCTAAACCTAAACTCATTAGGTTTCCATAAACACATCCTGTACCCTTTGTCCTGAATTTTACGAATGTCATTTTCATTCCACAAATGACCTGTCACAATCATCTTTCTGGTACCACACATTAGGATGGTGAAAACAAACTGTTAATTTCCTTAACATTTCTCTGATTAAACCTTCTCATTTCCACAGTTACTGGCTTAGTTCCTGGGGCAGTCATCTCTTCCCTCTCCGGAACAGCCCCAGGCACATACTATACATTTGTAGAATGAATTCAAAAATAAAACAAGGGCCCAGTGCAGTGGCCTAGAGGCTAAAGTCCTCACCTTGAACACACTAGGATCCCATATGGGCGCCAGTTCTAATCCCGGTGATCCCGCTTCCCATCCAGCTCCCAGCCTGTAGCCCAGGAAAACAGTCGAGGATGGCCCAAAGCTTTGGGACCCTGCACCCGCATGGGAGACCCGGAAGAGCTCCTGGCTCCCAGCTTCGGATCGGCGCAGTACCAGCCGTTGCGCTCATTTGGGGAGTGAATCTTTGGACAGAAGATATTTCTCTCTGTCTCTCCTTCTCTCTGTATATCTGACTTTGCAATAAAAATGAAATAAATCTTTAAAAAAATAAAACAAAACATGAAAGGACGAAATTTGGGAAAATCTCTGTCACCTCCTTACAGGTCATACTTACACCAATGCAATCTTCTATTTATAGAACTGATGAAAAGGCAACATCTATCTGTGATCAGATATTTTCCCAGGTTTTCATCAAACAGTGGCCACTACTGCCCTCACATAAACACTAGATTCCACGGCTGACAAGCTGAGACATGCGCTGTGCCCTCCCCCCCTCATCACGGCCATAAACATCCCTCAGATACTTAGTGATATCTAGAATTACTATGCCAGTTCATAATTTCCTCTTTGCTCAGCTTGCTTTCTCTATAAGCAGTGCTCATTGCCCACCATATTGCCCACCTGAAAACTAGCTCATCTGAACAACTCAGCTCACACCTGTGCGATGTCTGCCTTATCTCCTCCATCTCCCCTTCCCTTCCTACCTGGTTCTGTGGCCCCCACCTCTGTAAGTACACCTATAACACGCTTTCATCCATGTCTGCACTCCTGTCCATTTCCCATCCCCGAGTCTTCTCCTCTTACAGTGGAGACCTTTGTCTTACTATTTTCTTAATTAGCATATATTAGCCACTCAAATATCGTAGACTTATAAACTGATTTTAAAAAAAGTGAGAGGGTCTTAGAAAGATTTATGTAAGAAAATGATATGATACGGTTTTCACTTTAAGAGCATCGCTATGTTGAAAGCCAGAAATGCAAGTCCAGGGTTGAGGTAGGAGACTACTACAATCGCCCAGTGGGGAACTACTGAAGAACAGAGGACAAGTGCAAGTAGTAAGGGGAAGGGAGAAGATAGGAAAAATATTTATAAAGCGAACAAACAGAATTTGATCCTTATTTGGATGATCCGTTGAAACAAGGAGAAGAATGACTTTAAGAGTTCTAGCTGGGGGACCACACTGTTCCTTGCCGTTTAAAATACCAGTGAATTCACATGCGTGGCATTAGACCAGGCAACATGAGACTGGAGAGAGTGATGAGTTACATGCAACACTGTTTCCTGTGTAATGTCTCAGAACCACATGTACTGCATCAGTATAAATTTATACGTGGAGCCCTTTCGCGGGCTGCTTTACTACCATGGTTATACTTCTAAAACATTCCTAAGGGACAACCAAAATCAAAGGAATATGTCACCTCATATTGGAATAGCTTGTCTAGTAAACTGAAGGACAGATGAGAGCAGAAAACGTGGTTGTTTGATAAATCCTAAAGAGCAGTAAGTGCCAAGTTCCCCTAATCTGCACTAATTTACACAAATCGGAACAAAGTATTTGAAATAGGTCATTATCTTGTTTGTCAGCCAGCCTATGTGAAGGTTGGGATACAAACTCCTGTAAACACATTTTATGGCATTAAAATATAATAATTGCTTCATATTTAGCAGATTTTTTTTGTTTTACCTGAAGTATAACTTTAAACATACTTTTCTTATTTCTTGGCGGTGAAATTACTGGTTGACCAACTGAATTCACTGATGAAGTGCTTCATTAATCACAGTGCACTTGTTTTTGGCAAGAACCATAATGTGCTACAAAAACTGTTATTAAAGTATGATTTGGGGATTCCCAGGCTGGCAGGGAGTTAGTTAGTAATACCTTTCTAGAAATTGTTTTCTTATAACTTACTGTAAACTTACTGTATTATTAATGGTCTTGTTAGGCTTACAGCTCAAAACAACTTTTATTAATGTGTAAAGTCCACCTATTCTGAAACTCACTTAAAATCATAAGCAGCAAAGTCAAATATGGCCTCTTCTCCATGATCTGCTGCGGTTTCACATCAGCCTAGGAGATGCTCCCTATCGCTTCTCTCTCCGTGGTAACGTGCATCTGCACCCCATCTATCGCTCAGATAGCACACTTTTAGAATCCCAAAATGTAGGCTGCAAAACTTCAGATCACTGCGAACACCCTGACAAGTACATAAGTTATCTCCTGTTTACCGCCAGGGACACAGTTTGATGAAGCCAGGTAACGTTGATATGTGTACAAACTTGAACCATTTGAGACACATTTATTAATATTTAAAAATGCTGTGAGGCCAAGAAGCACTGAAAATAAACACCAAAACACTGAAAATAAAATGTTACAAGAGATTCTCCTTCCTGTTTGCATAAAACACAGGAGGTACAAACTATCTCCACCATCCAGTTATCTCAAACCCTCTATAAATAGCTTCATATTGAACAAATTTATTAATATTCTGGGCATACTCTGGTAAAAAAAAAAACAACCATTAGCCATACATTATATATTTGCTGCCAAATTGAGCCATCAACATTGCTAAATGTTTCAGTATCTTCTGACAGGTGAAAATAATTCACCACTCATTAACTAACAGGATTAATTCCGGCCCAATGCAGAGGAGACGGACAGGAAAGCATCGGTCCTGTTTCTCTGTGTCTTCACTCAGGACTGAAACCACATCTAAGTCAAGGAGGTTCTTAACACCAGCAAATAATAAAATCTGTATCTTTTGATGTTATAATCACACAACAGGAACATTCTCCTTGCATACATTGTAAAACAAAGAGTTGCCTGGAATATTCTACCTACCACTACACAATCTGGGACTGTAAAATTTTCCAGACACCAGAACCCCACAGATTGTAGACTTCACCAATTTCCTGACTCCTATGTGCTCAAATTGCAGGTTCACCTATTTACAAAACCAGCTCCTCTTTCATGTTGTTAAAAAAAAAAACAAAAATGACTCCAATGTTGACGCCAACCTTTTATCCTGGGTGAGAATGTGTGGATGACACACCCCATTTGTAAAAGAAATCTAGTTCGTGTGTTCAAATACATTTTACTAGGAAACCAAGAACGCATCTTTGACTGCATGAACTTTCTCCATGGGTCCCCTAAGGCTGACGTCTTTGTATTTCACTTTAACATAAGGAAGGGGGAGGGGAGGCGGATGGAGGATGTAAAAAGAGAAGAAAAAGAAGGGGGGCGACGAAAGAATCGGGGACTTAACCGCATAAAAAAAATAACCTTAAAACGTCCAGATCAACCCAGTTCTAACGGGACATGAAATGAATGGACATTGTGGGAAAAACAGTAGTAAACTTTAAAGCCAGTGAAAGGTTTTAAATGCCTAAGGGGAAAATAAACATTTGCTTCCAATCATTTTCTCATTAAGCATTCTCTGCTAGATGGCGAGGGCTTACTTAATACACACACACCCACACCCACACACACACACGCTTTGAGCGCCACAAATGCCGGCTTAACCGACTGCCTCATGCCTGTCACAGACAGCCCATGTGCGCCTTAGCTGGTGCACCTCTACCCGAGCTCCTGCGCCCCAGACTACTCTACCGGCCTCGGCTAAAGCGAGCAAGCACCGCCTCGTCCAGCCGGCTTGCCTCTCCCAGCCCTTGGCCACTTTCTCTGTGAGAGGAAGCACTACACGCACTGACAGATTTTCCGTTAGTGGTGGCTGGGGTAGTCGCCAGGCGTGCTTCCGGGAGCACTAAAAACCTAGCCGCTCTCTACACCAAGTAGCAGCTTCCCCAGCCCCGCCTCCAGCACCGAGGACCCTGCGTTCGGCTTCTCCTCTCTCCAACCTGTCCCAACCTGCCACCACTTTCCAACCCCTCGCCTTTCTGTTCTAGCCAGGCGCACCTCACCAGGGCGCAGGTCCTCCCCTTGCATTTCCCAGCTCCCGGGCGCCCCGCTCGGTCGAACTTTGGGCATCTTGGGACCTAACTGCTTCAAATTATCCGCGCAGCCAAAGCCCGCGTCTGCCTGGCCCTCTCGTCCCAGGTGCTTAAGGCTTCCGTCGGGCACTCAATTGGTTCCTCGGGGCGACGGGTTCACGCCGCAGATGTGGAACAGGTGGGGCCCGGAAGGTACATGGCTCCAGGAAAAAAAAGTCCACAGACACGTGCAATGACATAAAAACCTCCACGTGTGCGCGCACGAGTATATATGAGCGTGTGTGTGAGCGTGTGAGTGTGTGTACGCGCGCGCGCGGAGGGCCAGGGCACGGACGCCAAGCACGCGCCAACGGACCGAAGCCCAGGGGCTCCGGGAGCGGATGTGGCGAGGGGCGCGTTGGGGGCGCGGGTACTCACACGAACGCGTGATAGACGAACGCCCAGCCGCGGGGTCTCTCCAGCACGTTGTACAGATAGTTCTGCACCCGCCGGTACTTGACGTTGCGCCGGCAGCTCTGGCTACTCGTGTAGGAGAGCGGCTTCCCCAGCAGGCTCATCCGGGCCCCCTGCTTGCCCCGGCGGCTCTCCCTCAGGCCGCCGCCGCCGCCGCCACCGCCGCCGAGCGCGGCCGCGCGGGTGCCCAGCAGCAGCAGGCCGTCGCCCCTGGCGGCCGCCGAGTTCAGCAGCACCCTGCCGCGGCCTGACTCCACATCCTTCATGCCGCTGCCCAGGCGCCCCCCGCCCGCCGCCGCCGCCGCCGCCGCGCCGCTCTTCACCCAGAGCCCGGCGGCGCCGCCCTCCTCTCCTCCCGCGTGGTGGCGGGGCATGGCATCACCACGGGCACCGCGAGGGGGGCGCCAGCGCCTGCGGTAGGGGCAGCGGCCTCATGTGCGCCGGCAGCCGACGGGGCGCCCGCCGGCCAGCAGCGACCTTCGCGCCGAGGAGGGGCGGGAAGCCGGCAGCCGGCACAGCCCCCCGGGCTTCGGGGCGGGGGCTGCGGGGCGTGCGGAGGAGGAGGCCGAGGAGTCTCAATCGGCTTGCAGCCTCCGGCTTCCGAGTTCCGAGTCGGGCCCTGTTGGGGGCGTCGCCAGGAGAGGTTTTTCTCGTGCGCTCTCTTATTCCCGCGGACACCGCTCCCCTCCTTCCCCAAGTGCCCTCGGGGGCTGGAGCGGAGGAGTGCGGGGCGCTCCGAGGCGCGCTCCCACGCGCGCACGCCCAGCCCCAGGCTCCCCCTTGCTGCTCTGTCTCCACGCCCAGATTGTATCTGCCCCCTCTTCGGGTGTGAGTTGCCTCTCCCAGGGGTTTTGGAGCTGTCGGGAAGGGTTGACTCCCGCCAGTGGCCCTGAGGAGAAACTGCAGACGCAGGTCGCTGCGCTGTCCCCCGGCCGCCCCGCCGTGGCAGGTCCTGCCGTCTTTCCACAAGGATTGTCAGCCAGCACGACCCGACCCTGCCCTGCCCTCCAGGTAGCAGTTAGTCCGGAAGGGGCGCTGGGGCGACACTCCGGGAAGCGGCGCTCTGGTTCCCCCAGCGCAGGTAGCAAGTCCTCCCTTGGCTGTTCAATGGACTGGCGCGAGGGGCGCGTCTGCTGAGCCTGCCTGGCAAGGAACTGGCATCTTCCCGTGGCTCACTCCAGCCTGTGGGCTGTGACTTTCCATCTCAGCCTCAGACCTCAACAAGCCCAGCGGGTAAAACTGCACATCCTTGGCGGCTCGGGGGTGGGGTGTGGTGCCGAGGGCGTCACACTGCAAAGTGGTCCCTGTGCGGTGAGCGGGCTGCCCCCTAGGGCTCTCCTGACAAGCCAAGCTTGGGAGAACAACCCAGGTTTCTCCGTCAAGAAATTTCCATTTAAGTCCGAGAATGTCATAAAACTGCTAACTCCCGGCGGTGGCGACAGCGGCTCCAGTGTCTAGGAGAGGAATCCGAAAAGGTGGGGAGCCCCACAACCCCGGCTCCCTGTGTTCCCACCCTGCTCCGGTGCGCTGTGACTTGCAGAGTGAAAGTGTATTGGGAGCAACATTTTGGCACCGCCTCGGGCATCCAGGCATGCCAGAGCCTGCGCCCTTGGGCCCTAGGGAAGCCACGGGGTCACCGGCGGGGGAGGGCTCTGGCCTTCAGTGTGTGGTATAGGTAGCAACAAGTTAAGCATCACACTCTGCATGGGGTGACCGACGTGGGGGAACTTCTTCCAAGAGCGCGGATTTGCTCCAAGTAAGAGAGAAAGCGTTCGCCAACTTAACACTGAACTAAGCCTCCGTGGCGAGATGCAAGGTGGTTATTCCCTGTGGCTTTCTCCTTCCCTAACCCCAAGGCAATACCAAGACAAAAGTTTGATTTCGGCTGGCTCCACCCCTGCGAGATAAACACTCCACCAACTCCCTCCTCTACCCACGCCCACCGCCGCTGCTTTCAGCCTCCGGCAATAGCTGCACCGCAATGCTTTACTTTTTCGTGGCTGTCACTGTTGCTGTTGGTACGAAGCCCTCTCATGGGCTCCTGGCCGCCAGCAGGACCTTGCCTTCCACAGGCTGCCCTCTGGGCCACGGGCACCAGCTCTGAGTGCCGTGCAGCTGGCGGTGAAGCCACGTGACTGTCAGCCAAGCACCAACACCCAGAGTCACTCTTGCTCTCTCCTAATACACTTCTCACCCACGCACTGTGGAGGTGCGAGAGAGATTGCTCTGTGCCCCGCTATTCAAGGCAGAGCAGACAGCACCCCTGAGCAAGCTCTCCAACCCCGCAGCTGCTCGGGGACCCCCACTGAAGGCGGAGTGGGTGGAGGGAGTTGGCTGTTGCTATATTTAGACTCCTCGCGGAATTTCTGTGCAGGGACTTTCAGAGTGAACAATCTGGAGACTTAAAATGACTCGTGTGCACGCTTTAAGCGAAAACCTTGGCTGTTTTGCAGGCAGTAAAATGAAAACCACTTCCTCTTACATGAACTGTTCTTGTAGCCAACTTCCACTTCAGCTGACTAGGTCAGGTCGTCTCACCGCGGGTTTGAGCCCTAGTGCAGGCAGCAAGTTCCAGGAAGGCAAGGTATAAGGATGCCTGTTTCCTTGGAAGAGGGCCAGCTGCTTAATTTTCAAGTAATGCTTTTTAGGGGGTGCAGCAATGATAAGTTGAAATTCTGTTGTGGATGAAGTAAATACCATTAAACTGTTTAATTCATCAGATCCACTATGAGGGTAGAGCTGGGAGAGCCTTTTGTTTGTTTTAATTATGCATTTCTTCTAAACATATTTAATGATTTTATGTGAAAAGGAGAGGAGAGACCTGGAGAGACAGCCCTTCTGCAGAATTCAGTCCTAGACCCCCAAGTGAGCTCAACCACCTGCACTCACTCTCCCAGGATGCGTTAGGAGGAAGCTAGGGATTGAGCCTGGATGTCCCAGACAGGGGCTCAATTTCAGGTCAAATGCCCAGCCCTGCAAGGAACTTTGGATTCTTTCTTCTGGAAGGAGCTCTGTTTACACACATTAAGCCAGAAAGGTGGCCAGGTTTCCTTGGGTACCAAGAGGTAACTAGCATCCCAGCATCTTTGCTTCCCATGCTGTCCTTTACTGCAGCCTTCAGCATCTCCAACAGAGGATGGGGGAAACAGCAGATGGTTTTGTACCAATGTTTTGCCTGTTACCATCAGGAAAGGCTGTTGAACTGCAAACCTTTACTGTTGTGCTCCCCGTTTCCTTGGATGAAAAGACCAGGTGAGGCTGTGTATGCCTCTCCTCTTTGTATGTTCTTTCCTACACATTAACTTACTCCTGTGGACAGGAATCAACTTTGGGAGGGAAATGAAGGACTCGTGATGGTGCTTTGTTGTTTTTTTTGAATACAGATGTTAGGAAACTGCCATACAATGATTCTTTTGCTGAATATACTAAATCTCGAAGAAGGTAGTCATATTGAACAGCAAATAAAACAATTTATAAGTCTAAAATCTTTGTATGCTAATTACACTGAGACACTGAAGAAGTAGAGATAAAGTTCAACAACAACACCTTTTTGGAAAGCCAGTGTTTCTTGTTAGAGGAGCGTTGGGATTGGTTGGCCTTCCCCAACCCCTTGAGTTTGGCTTGCTTTCCATCGTTCATTTCTATATATCGTATGATACATACCTACAGTTTATGACTTCGGAAACTTATTCCCTGGAGTCTACATGCAGATGGTTTCAACTCAATATAGCTACCAGAAATATTTTATTTCAGTGTATTTTCTACCTCATTATGTTTTTCTTCTCAAAGGAATTCTGAAAATTCTATAAATGAGCTAGGAATGTGTAATACATAGGCTCACTGCTTCCAGAAATGCAGCTTAAATGGATCTGCACTGGCATCATAGAACTCCAGTGGCTCTGCTGCCTTCCCTTCCTCTCCATGTCCATTTTCCAATTGCACCAATTCTCCTATCACGGCAAATCCTTTCACCAACTCACATTCTTGGTTTTGACTTAACAACGAGTCACAAAGCTGCAAATCTCTAGTGTTATGGATGGACTTGATCCAGAATGAAATCCCGGGGCTAGTCAGAGCAGTCATTCTAGTGTTCTATTCAATGACAATCAGAATATCTAAACCTTAGAGCAAAAGGAAATTTACTGACAGAGAAATGGAAGTCTATGTTTGGCTGCTGTTCAGTGACTTGCACGAAGCTCAGCAATTTGCCATGAAGGAAGCCTATAGCCTCCCAACTCCAGAACAAAAAGTCATTTAGGTTATATCACCTTCTTCATTAGCTTGTATTTCCTCCTGTCAGGCCAAATTCAAACCAAGAAGCATAGCAACTATAGTGCACATCAAAAGTTTCTTTCAACCTATGTCCCGCTGAATCAATTCACCATTCTTATTATTTTAAATGGATCAGCATAGTGTACCATAATATTTTAAAGTCAAGTAAGAATTCTTATCTTTAAGAGATGTAATACAAGTTCTCAAGATTTTTCCCCAACAAGCCTATCTTAATGAGAGAACCCAGAACATCAGAGATCATCTGATCAGAGATCAGAATGAAGGTTCACCCACAGCAGGAATCCCAGGCCATCCTCTCAAGGTGAAAGGGGCGTGGCTTCTGTGGAGCAGGTTCTCCCACAGGGATGCAGAAATTATAGAGGTAGATATGCTTATGGTTGTAAGGAGAAGCTTGTATGAGAGTAGAGAAATAGTGAGAAAAGGATTCCAAATGGCTTAATGATTTTCATTCCAGAAACTACCAATATTCATTTTTCTAAGGCTTTCTAAAATATTGTGTTGCTCACCATCACCAAAAAAAAAAAAAATACAGCAAATGTTCAGCTTGTGTCGACTATGAGCTAGGTGTTGTTCTTTACAAGAATTATTTCACTTGATTCTGCCAATAGTTTCATATGTAAACACTGCAATTATAATCGGTTTACAGGGAAAGGTATATTCAGATTAATTCATCAAAACTAGTAAAACTTAGCATATTTAATACATGAAACCGGCAACCATGTATTAATGTGATATTATCTCTTGACATGAGATTAGCTGTTTATTGTGTATTAGCAGTATTGACACTTTTCTTTACAAAGGAAGTATAGTCATGTACTATGTAAAGATATCTCCACCAACGATGGGCTACATATACCATGACCATCACATAAAATCATAATGGAGTTGAAAACTTCCTGTCACCTAGTGATTTTCTAACTGTGCTAACATAGTAGTGTAATGCATTATTCATATCTTGTGGTTAGGATGATGCAAACACACCTAATTAGGTATCCTGCAGCTTCTAAATACTCACAAATACAATAATCACCCTGTTATAACTGCCTGTACTATTCAATAAAACAACACATTTACAGGTTTGTAGCCTACAAGCAGTAGGTCGCATCATACAGCACAGGTGTGCAATAGCCATTCCATCTAGGTTTGTGCGAATACATCCTATGCTGTTAACACAATGACCAAACCACCTAAAGAATCACCTGAAGACATGTTTCCCAGAACATATTCTAATGGTTCAGTGATACAGGCCTGTATTGGGAAGTTTTTATTGATTTTTTAAAAGCAGGATTTGGAATTTTTATCTTAAAAACAAATTGCTTTGACATGAATTTCTGCTTCCAAACAAAACATGGCATGGACTCCCAGTGAAGCTGTTGGAAATGTGTAGACAGTGGGATGCCGTACTGTCTGACACTGTACCAGCAGTGTTGGGGAACACTGAAGTAAG